GGAATCAGCTATTTCAGGATGAACATCGCACAATGATAACGAACATCTCATCACAAGTCGTGGATGGTCGCCTTGTATGTCATTTCACTCAGCAGCTCGTCCCACAGATTGACAGAAAAAATGGTCTCGTATGGAGTTTGGATAAGGAATACTACATTTTGGGAGCTACTGGATCTGCACAACCGGATGGTACGTGAAATAATTTCGGAAAATTTCCGTTTTGTGTTTTTTTCGAGTTTCATTTTTTCAGAAGTAAATGCTCACGACATGAATCGAGGCTCACATTTTTATCCAATCGTCTCTTCTGCGAAAATCAACCCTTCACAACTGAGTCTGGTTAAGGTAAAGTCCTAGAAAATGTTCTCCTTTTTGGCCTGTCTAGCATATTTTTTTCGAACTGTTCACTCACTATCTTACCGTAGCCTTTTCTCATGTTTTTCAGAAGTTTTTATTTCAGTACGACACCCCTCTCAGCACCAATGTAATTTCGAAGGAAAAAGTCTCGATTGACCAAGAAAGCCCAGAGTCCATGAAGCCTGAAGCAGATGAAGTAGCTCCAACTACAGCAGCTATGACCACTACGGTCACATATGCTCCACCGGAGAACTCGTCCACTTTGAAGAATTTTTTCCATTCCGCAGTGGTTCTATCACTGCTTCGGCTACTGTAATCTGCTATATTTTACTATGTTTATGTTGCATTTTTCTATGTTTGTTTTTCTCATGTTGTGCGTACAAATAATCGGTGATCTGTTGCGAAGAGATTTCTGAATTCTTTTATCATAGAACTTCTGCTTTTCCATTGATTGATCGTAATTATAACGGGTAAAATGTGTACATACATATGCGTTCTTGGTGGTATAAACTCTTACTAGCGAATTTTATGAATTTTGGAAGGTCACAGAATGGTCACAGAATACTATTATAGGTAGTTGGAAGCAATCACTTTGCCTTAGTGACTTGACAATTGACAATTAAAAGTCTTTCCTTAGAAAACCGGGTAAAGAAAAGCTTGAAATGCTCCAAATTCTTTGTCGTCCCACAGATTATGATTTTAGGGATGGAAAAATTTTGATTCAGGATGTATGTCGAAAGGCGCGCGTTCCGGTAGTCGCCTTTGTTGGACTGGAGTCGTACTCCGCACAAGGAAGATTTTTAAGCTCCGA